ATCGATCGTATTATAGAGGTCTTGATAGTGAATGATCGATCGTATTATAGAGGTCTTAATAATTTGGGGTCGATCGTATTAAAGAGGTATCGATCGTATAAAAAAGTTATCGAAAAAGTATCCAGAAATAATATCTCCCCAGACAAGGCGCACTTGAAATACCTCCCCTAAGGGCATTTTGGGTTAATTTTACTTGTCATAATTTCAGAAACTGTTAAATGTAGTGAGAGGTTCGACTACAGGATATTTTTTTTTTGATTAGCACTTCAGGTTATAAAATTATAAAATTTAATTTACAACTTTGAATTGAGGGTAAAATAGAATTGGACTTGTCTATCACGCTATACAAAATAAAGAGTTCTTAAATTGCTTCGAGATATTTTTTTTCTTTTGATATAATTTGAAGATGCAGACATTGCGACTGATAGGCAACGGGGTATATGATTAAGATTTAAACAAACTATGGCTGAATGAATGATTGATTGAATGAATGATATGAATGAATGATATGAATGGATGGATGGATGGATGGATGAACGAATGAACGAACGGATGAATGAATGAATGGAATGGATTTGTGGCTTAATTTCTAGGATAACATACATCGCTGTCTTTTGGCATGTTTTACTATATGTTACTTGATTTCTAAGATAACATACATCGCTGTCTTTGGCATGTTTTACTATATGTTACTTGATTTCTAAGATAACATACATCGCTGTCTTTTGGCATGTTTTACTATATGATACTTAATTGTAGAACATGTAATGCGATACATTCTCTTTAGTAGCATGCTTTTGTTTACAGCCAGCCTTATAACGGTTTGAATAATACGCGTAAATTAATCCTTTTACAATTGTTCTCAATATTTTATATATTCTTTTCATTTTTTTAAATTTTCGTTTCTATTTTTGAAATACAAACAAGAAACAATCGAAGCTCTTTGCCATTTATCTATGCCTTTGCTTTTAGTCTGTAAAATGGGAAACACGGGTGGCGCGTGGTGCTAAGGCGTCGTCTCTCACCAAAGACGACCCGGATTCGATTCTTGTCAGGTTCGGCGTCGTAAAGAATAGAGCTGTTTGTTGGTTCTCTCCTGTGCTTCGAGGGTGTTTTCTCCGGGCTCTCCAGTTTTTGTCCCTCCACGAAAATCAACTTTTAAATTCCAAATTGATCAGGGATTGAAGGCCAGATTGGAATCAACCCTCCGTACTTTGTCTAGTACCACCCTCGTAAAACAAGGAGACAGTTTTTAGGTAGTTTCAAATCCATTATTCGTAAAAGCTGTGTTTTGTCCACTGTTGTTTTGTGTAGTGTTTGCAGGAGCAACTTGATTTCCTCGCGGCTCATTTCTCGTGCTTCGGGTAGTATTGCCAGTGATTATACTCTTCATGCCATCTCGGAACTTAGCGTTGTAAAATCCATAGATAAATGGGCTGAAAGCGCAATGAAAGTGCGCTAAAAATAGTCTCAAGAACATCAATTCACATGGTAATGTAATCCCATATGAATAGACGATAAAATGAATAAAGTAAAGTAACCAGCAAAGAATGAAAGTCCCCACAACTATGGACACCATCTTGAGGACTTTTCTCTTCGATTCTTCACGGATACGCGCCTGAGCGTCGTTTACAGATGACGACTGTCCTGGAATGTTACGATTCTTGATCAGCGTCAAGATGATGGCAGAATAAAGCACCGTTATTATAGCTAAAGGTACAGCAAACGCGCCGATGATGATGAACTTGTAGTACGCCTTGGAAGAGCCTGGTCCGAACGCGAAGTCCAAGTCGAGATAACAAAACACCGAGCTTTGGTAGAGTCGTAGTTCGATGGCGTAGAACTCCGGGAATCCTGCCGCTAGAGCAGCCATCCATATGCAGAATATTAAACCCTGACATATTGGGACTGACATGAAGCGACGAAGGGGAAACACCACGGCGAAGAAACGGTCAAAGCTTATGGCAACGATTGTGAAGATAGCTACAAATATAGCCACCTCGTTAAAGCATGCTATCTTACAGAAGACAAGTCCTATGCCTCCTAGGATCTGCCATGCATAACCTGCGTAGGCCAGAGAAATGATTCTTGGCATGTATGTGATGGTGACGAGAAGGTCTGCTAAGCTTAGATTGACGATGAAAAAATTCACTGTCTTCCACATAGACTTGTTCCTGAAGATCACAGCTACAACCATGGCGTTTCCGAGCAAAGATACAATGATGATGATACAGTAAGCGAAAATACGAAGCCCCTTGATCGCTGAAGGGTCGACAACGAAGCAACCGGCTTCGCTCACACTTCTGCGCCCTGTGCCATTCACTGTCTCGTTTGAATTCATCTCTATAGCGCGTTCAATACTGAACACCCCAGCAAATACTCGTCTCTTTATACCTTTTTATCACATGATTAGCTTAGGTATTTATGCTGTCAAAACTGTTATTCTAACCATTGATGATTTTATTGAACTCACTAGTGACAATCCCCCTAGAGAACCCCGTGGGGTGATATGGGTTTTTCTTTGCCATCTTGAAGACACCTTAAATTTGCTTCGCGTGAAAGCCATTAATAGGATTCTTGCATCATTAAAGTGGGGGAAGAAAACTACAAATCCATTTTCTAGCCTCAATTAAACATTTTCCATTCGCTGTATTTGATTTAACACTCAACAAACTCTTGACCAAGGACTTGAAACTCCGGAACTATGCTTGTACGATAACACTGTTTTGTTTTGTTTTTTCTTTTACGTAATTTTCTTTAAAAAATTCGCGTTTTTGTGTTTGCCCAAAAAGGTCGACATCATTTCTAAAGCGCAAACTCGAAGGACAATTTATAAACAAATATTATTATAAATTTCTTTTGTTTAATTAAAAACTTTTAACTTATTTTTCTTAAAAGAACAATTTACTTCAGTATCTACATTAATTATTGAGAATTCTTCTTTAAAGATAGCAGGGGATAGTTTAAAAAAGGCTTTATTGAATTTTGAATGAATCGCGAGTTTTATAGCCAGATTCTCGAAACAGTCCAGAACTAATGAGGCTAAAATCGGGTCAAGACCAATCTGTTTTTATCCTTAGTTTTATTTGTTTATTATTTTTCGATTTCTAAAGCCAGCCTCTATGAGTTAATCAGCTAAAGATTTATCCAGGCTTTGAAAAGAGTTTAAATAATTCAATAGAAAGACAAAAAGGGAAGCAGCTGAATTGACATTTAAAAAAATAAGACATTTAAAGATATAAAAGACTTTTTTTGACAAATTAAGAGTAATTTGGCTTATATTTTTTTATTGGCTGTAGATAAAAACAGACGAACTTTTGGAGTTAAAATGGACAAAATAAWAAAAAAAAAAAAAAAAAAAAAAAAAAAAAAAACCGACAAAACAGGTCATATAAAGAGAATATGGTCTTGGATTTTGCGCTTAAACGTGTTCCAAGAACCTTGCTATAAAGCTCACATTATTATATCGACGCAAATTAGACTTCAATTCAACTGAATGTGCCAGAGTAATCTGCTGTGCTCGGGGTTTTTCACCAAGACAATGCTAAAAGTGTCACTCCAGGTTGGCAATGCAATTAACATCGTACTTAATTTTTCAACAGTCCCTCCTGTAATGAGTAAAAGTCGATTTACGTTTTTCTCCCGCTGACTGTTTTTTATTTATGCCTCTTTTTTTTTTTCGTTTTGAGTTAACAAATCCTAGTTCTATGAAAACAGCTCATTTTTGTGAATATTGAATAATGCAGAGTGAATCCTCTTTTAAAAGCTAAAACCTGGCTAAAACATTACATCTCTTGTTATATATAAATATTGCATAATTTTCTTTCTACTTTGCATAGTGAACTGCAGCGTGAATAGTCATCGCGATAAATATTATAACGGGGAGTCTTCTAGAAGCCACTGAAATCAGGCTTAAGCAAGCAAATGTGTTGGTTAAATAATGAAAAATACTTTCTTTATTTTGCACTTTTAGAATCTAGAAATATTTTTCTCACGAAATAAAATAATAATAAAAATAAAAAGACGGATTCCTATGTTCGTTCATTTGCAGAAGGTAGAGTTGATATAATGAGACTTTGTCATGAAGAATAATTACGATATCTAGAAAGATCATGTTAAAGTTAGTAAAACTATGAAACTTGAAGGAAGTAAGTTAAAAAATCCCGAAAATATGAAATTTCAAAAAGAATTTGTAATGAAAAGTTTTGTATGTCGTTTTCCTCACTCCTGTCAAAAATCATATCTACGCTAGTGTTGAACTCACTTCCTTCGAACTTTACCGAGTTTTTTGATGTTAACATGTATACAGCTATGATGGTACTAAATTGTTTTAAAATTCATGATAAGAGTTCAATTCGTAGTCCAAAAAGTTTACTGCGTGTGATTGCTTTATTTGCGCTCCTTTGACGGTCGGTTTTACAGAAAAGTCAGACGTCAAATCGCCGGGTTTGACATGTTATTAAAAAACTAGTTATTCCATGTTTAAACAAGATTCATAGATGTCAGATTGAAGACAAGCTAGTTTGATTAGCGAACAAGAGAAATTAAACTAGCTGTCGTCGACGAAAGAAAGAAAATTTAAATGCATATTTTTTTATCGTAGGGTTTGAGCTTTGCGTATAAATCAAGAGAGACAAGAAATATAAAGCAAATAAAAAAGAAAGAGAGCAAAGAGCATATTTTATAAATATTTTACTAGCTAAAGGATGTTTATGTATTTTTTATATTTATATTAGCAGCTTTATTACTCGTCTGAATTTCATCCCTCTCAACTGGGTCGGTAAATTCCAATTCCGTCACAAAACCTCTGATTTTCATGCTAAGTACTGCTACCAATCTAGATTTTTATCGAACTTCCTTTATAACTCTTTGAATATTTAGAAATATTTTGTAAGAAAATCCATCTTTTGACATAAGCATTTATCTTTAAGGTAAGCTATCGAGTTAGATATCAAACGTTATGTTATTCATTCGGAATAACGCAAATTTACAGCATTAATTTTTTAATAAGCTTCTCTTCGCTTCATTT